AATTACTAAATAATACTGCGTTTTAAAGAGTTATTTTGTGTTATGTATTCAGTGGTCTGTGTTTGCCTGAACTTAAGTCGGGACTAAGGATTCTGACCCCCCCCCAATGTTCTGATTAGATACATGATATCCAATCACAGAATATTTCAGGATTTGGGCCTCTGCCATTGGCCTTTAAACTCTGGGTCATGATTCGCAGCTTGGAAGTTTAGACAGCCAATCACGTTGGGAGTGGGAGTGGCCCAGGACTTCAGAAATGTGTATAAACAGTTGCTTTGCCAGTTGTCAGTTCTGTTACAGTGGTACCTCAGGTTACATACGCTTCAGGTTAGACTCCGCTAACCCAGAAATAGTGCTTCAAGTTAAGAACTTTGCTTCAGGATGAGAACAGAAATCATGCTCCGGCAGCACGGCGGCAGCAGGAGGCCCCATTTAGCTAAGTGGTGCTTCAGGTTAAGAACAATTTCAGATTAAGAACGGACCTCCGGAACAAATTAAGTACTTAACCCAAGGTACCACTGTATTTTGTACACAAGGAAGGAGTGATATGTACTTCAGGCGCTGAAATGTGCTTGATGACAGTAAGGACTCAAAACTATATTGCTCTTTACTTGACTTTTTAATCTCGGCACCCTGAAACTCCAGCCAAATTTCACTCGCAACCTGGGTCAGCTACAGGTGCAATTTCATCCCAGAGTTCCCCCAGTCGCACTTCTGGATGCTTGGACAGTTTAGGCAATTAAAGAAACACTGTGACACGGCTTCCCTACAGTTCCTTGGGAGGTTGGGGGGCAAGATCGGCAGAAGGGTCCCCTTTAGTAGTTCCACTGCCCTTGAAAAGTTTTGGGAGAAGGCATTCTCTGCGGCAGGCCCTGAGTGGTGGAATTTCCTCCCCACAGAGGAGTGTTATAGTATTAGGAAGAGGAGATGTAAGGCTAAACCACCCCTGAGGTAACAGTGGGAGGCAAGATACAGAACGAAGGCTCAGAATATGCCTTCCAATTTTCTGAGGAGCAGCCGTATTGGTCTGTTGCAGGAGAAACAACCTAGAGCCTTGCTAATCCTTTTAAAGACTAACACATTTCATTATGGTGTCAGCTTTCTTTCTTTTTTCTTTATATTTTCAAATTTATACATTTCATTAGCTTTACAATCAATTTAACATTTCAAAGAATTGATGCTTTTGAATTATGGTGCTGGAGGAGACTCTTGAGAGTCTCATGAACTGCAAGAAGATCAAACCTCTCAATTCTGATGGAAATCAGCCCTGAGTGCTCACTGGAAGGACAGATCCTGAAGCTGAGGCTCCAATACTTTGGCCACCTCATGAGAAGAGAAGACTCCTTGGAAAAGACCCTGATGTTGGGAAAGATGGAGGGCGCAAGGAGAAGGGGACGACAGAGGACGAGATGGTTGGACAGTGTTCTCGAAGCTACCAGCATGAGTTTGACCAAACTGTGTGAGACAGTAGAAGACAGGAATGCCTGGCGTGCTCTGGTCCATGGGGTCATGAAAAGTCGGACGTGACTAAATGACTAAACAACAACAACAACATGCTGCTGTAGTAGCATACATAAATAAATTTCTATACAATTTAGGTACTTCTTTTTTTTAAGAGATATTTATTAAAGTTTTACAAAAGCATGAATACAAAATACATGAAAGAAAAAATAAAAATAAAAAATACAACATACAAAAGACAAAACAAAAAGTAAGAAAAAATTTAAAAACAAAACCGTTTTTCGTAACTTTAAAGTCCTTTGCTTTTTTCTTTGACCTCCTCACACCTCCCCTTTTTGTATTCCCATTTATATAATCAAATCAGCAAATCCTTACCCTCTTTCATTTATCTTAACTCTATGTCTTAACATTTTTTAACTCTATATTTTCATCCATTATCAATTCATTTTTGCATATTCTTATTAACTTTGTTGCTAATGCCACTTATTTTCAATCCAACATCATTTACAATTTAGGTACTTCTGTCCCTATAATTCCCAAAAGAAAAGCTTCTGGGTTTTTTTTTGTTTTTTTGTTTTTTTTACAAACGTTACTTAAAACATCTTTTTCAATTCATTATATATCATTTCTATGGTGTAAGCTTCCATCTTGAGTCGCAGGCGTAATCCAATTCTGGCTCAACCCTTCCTCACTAAGCTTCAGATTCCCTTGCTCCTTTGACACACTACAGACCTGTCTCTTTTCCGTTCCAGGGCTACGAAATCCACATTACGCCTAACGTCAACCTGGAGCTGGAGGACATGAGGAACATTGTGCAGTGCGGTGGCGGGAAGTTCTTACCTAGAATGCCTCGAACCTACAAGATGAACCGTGCGTGTTTACATGGCATCCCGTGGGGTGCTGGCAGAAACACTGAGGCAAAAGGAATACCTGAGAGCGAGACCTGACTTTTTAAATATAAATTTTTATTAGTTTTTTAAACATACCATTTTCAACAGTAATTAAACATATTTTTACATCTTATTCAATATTTTGACTTCCATCAGTCCAGTCTGAAAATTTCCAATCTAATCTCTCAGTATACATTTCTTATTTTCCGTTACATTTAAAACTCATAACCAATATCTATTCTTTATCTACTTTGTAGCACTTCATATATTTCTCCCTACAAAACTTCTTATAGTCCTACTAGCGTATTTTGTTGATTACAATTGCTCTTCAAATAGTTAATATATTTCTTCCAATCTTCTGTAAATCTCTGTTCCCGCAAGTTTTGAATCCTTCCTGTCCTTTCGTCCAATTCTGCATAGTCCATTATTTTCGTCTGCCATTCTTCTTTCATCGGAATGTCTTCTTGCTTCCATTTATGGGCCAACAATACTCTTGCCACTGTTGTTGCATATAAAAACAATTTAACATCTTGCCTATTAATATCCTGACCTATAATACCAAGTAGAAATGCTTCTGGGTTTTTTTTAGAAAATGTATATTGCAACATCTTTTTCATCTCATCATATATCATTTCCCAAAAGTTCTTTATTTTCTTACATTCCCACCACATATGATAAAATGTTCCTTCTTTTTCTGAGAGCGAGACTTGACTCTCAACCTTTCATTTATTTGTTTAAGGACAAGTGTGTTGTGATTTCGTGTCCTGAAGACCTGCCCCGCTGCAAAGCGGCTCAGGACGCCAGGCTCCCCATAGCCAACGCAGAGTTCATCCTGACAGGTAAGCAGAAGCTGGATGTGGACGCCCACCGGCTGAACGGGATGAGCCCCCCCCTCCGTTGCCACTCCCCCGACCAGGACGAGGAGGAAGAGCAACCCCAGCCTTGCCCAGCAGAGCCAAGAGGAGGCGTTGAGACCGAAGCGCAGCCCATTACATGGCAACGTTGCCTTAAACTTGTAAATAACTCTTTTGTGGTTTTTTTTTTACCACTGTCAATAAAATGGGTATAAAAAGCAACCTGGTTCTTTTGGAATTGTGTACCTGCGGGAAAGGGAGGGTGTGCATATTTCCTGTGGCTGTCCCAAGGGGGGGGGAATATATGAAGTAGTAGTAGTAATAATAATAATAATAATAATAATAATAATAATAATTTATTTATACCAAACTGTATATGGATGCCAAACTGTTTTCATGCAGGGCTTTCTGCAGTTCTGCCTCAGCAGGTTCAAGTTTTTTGTTATACAGTGGTACCTCAGGTTACATCTGCTTCAGGTTACAGACTCCACTAACCCAGAAATAGTACCTTGGGTTAAGAATTTTGCTTAATAACTTTTTATTGATAATAATCAGCTAAATAGTTTGAGGATCTATACAACTTTGTAACATGCAGAGAACAGCAGTCTCAGAGAAACCAAAGACTGGAACTGAGGGAAGTCGGGGGGTGGGGGTGGGTGGATTTTGCCGGGGGGGGCAGGCAAAATGGGGGGGGGGGACAAGGATGATATGTTTTTGGATAATATGTCTTGTTTTAATTTTGTATAAAAAAACTTTAAAAAAAAGAACTTTGCTTCAGGATGAGAACAGAAATCGTGCACCAGCGGCACAGCGGCAGCAGGAGGCCCCATTAGCTAAAGTGGTGCTTCAGGTTAAGAACAGTTTCAGGTTAAGAACGGACCTCCAGAACGAATTAAGTACTTAACCCGAGGTACCACTGTAAATATTTTTTATTAATTTTCAGTTAAAAACATCCCAATTGATAACAAATCCAATCAGAATACAAACACAAGTTAATGTGCTTTCAAACCGTCTTGAACCGTCTTTCTTTGATACTTTTTGGATGTAGTAAGTAAGAGCCACCCCTCGTGGTTATAAGGCCATCTTTGACACACTTCGCTAGTACGAAAAGAATGTAAGCAAATGTGCCTAAAGGGCAGACCATACAAGAGCTAGTTTTGCCCTTGTTGTGCCCTCCAGAGACAACAGGACTCCCAGCTCCCATCAACCCCAGCTAGCTAGCGTGGTCGGGGATGATGGGAGTTGTAGTCTGGCAAATATGCTGTGTTGGCTTTGCCTGCTTCAGACAGTTACCAATTGTATGAAGGGCTTTTTTTAAAAAAAGTAAATAACAGGCCCTAACCCAGATCATAGATCCCTAGTGGTTGTGGGAATTAGAAGGGCTTTTCGCTCCTTTGCTTCATTCTGGATCGGTGCCTACAGGCCTGCTTTTTGTTGCTCTGGAAGAAAAGCTAGAGCTCCACATCGCACCCAGTGGAAACGTTCAGTGCAAATGACATTTGGCCTTCTTTACCTTCCTCCCAGGATCCCAGCCTGCGTTTGCACACATATATGTCTCCTTATCGCTACTTGATTTTTTTTTTAAAAAAATGATCTAAAGGTAAAGGGACCCCTGACCATTAGGTCCAGTCATGACTGACTCTGGGGTTGCAGCGCTCATCTCGCTTTATTGGCCAAGGGTCAATTTATCTAATGGCCAGTATTTATTTTATAGTACTGTACATTGATTATTGCTTTCATTTTGTGGATCAATGGTCTCATTAGATAGTAAAATTCATGTTAAATTGCTGTTTTAGGGGTTGTTTTTAAAAGACTGAAACGGAGTAATCCATTCTGCATTACTTTCTATGGGAAAGCGTGCCTTGGTTTTAGGACACTTTGGTTTGGGAATGGGCTTCTGGAATGGATAAAGTTTGGAAACCAAGGTACCAAGACCTGAATTCACCAACCATCTCTTTCCCAGGGGCACACACTTCTCAATGCTTGGAGAATTGTGGCGCACTTAAGAACATAGTTCTAAAATCCACATTAGGGCAATGCCTTTTATAGGTCAGCTAAAACGTCACGAAATAGTGAGCAAGCCTTCAAGTTACTCAGAGCTCTTCATCAGGTTTGATAGCAAATAAGGTGAGGTGGGAGGGAAGTTGGCTGATGGTGAAGTCATGGAGTTTGCATCTTGGCTGGCCTGATAAAAGCACTGCCTTAGTATGGACTTTGGACTTTTATCTAATGGGCAAACACACCTACCTTTCCTTTTTATAATAATACCCTCTTAAGAATTGCTTTAATGTCCTAACTGTGACAAGTTTTCAAGCTTATGGTGCGTTTTTGCCTGAAAGCAGCCGGCGCAGGTTGGAAGAAAGGGTACACTTTTTCGCTGAAACGGGCTGTGTGTGTGCAGAGGTGAGACCCGGCTGCTACATCATAGAAAGAAACTTGGCCTCCCTCATAGTCCAGGTACACGCCGACCTTCCACCATGACGATCCATTTTGAGGCTCGCTATCCTCCTCTGTTGGCTCCAGACACCAGATCTTGTCCGTCAGAGAAGTAGGATCCTTGCCTTTTTGCCTTGGGATGGACTCCAAGGCTACGCCAATCAACCAATCTCCCTTGTTTTGCACCTCAACCTCCCAGTAGTGTCTTCCTGAATGGAACCCCTCTTTCGCCAGCACAACGGGAGAGTCCTGAAATATCACTGGATAGTTCAAGGGATTCTTAAGCAGTCCAAATGCCACACGATAGTTTTGCAATAAGAAAGTGTATTTGGGATGAGCAGCGCCACAGTCCAGGGTGATTGGTTCTACTTCTGATAAGCAAAGGAAAAGAACGAGTTAAATAAAATTGGGGCATCCTACCTTAGCTCCATCCTAGGTTACCAAAAGGGAAAGAAACAAGTGGACGTGGGGGACTTTTTCTGGCTCTCATCTTACATTAAAAACGTAAGATGAGAGCCATTGTATTGGATCAGATTATTATAAGGTGTGCGGTCTTTGTTGTTTTCTTCAGCTCGTAAGCCGCCTTGCGTATCATACTATAGAAATACAAATTATTATATTATTCTATGGCTGAAGATGTGGGCATGGTCGGCCAATTGGTGTCAAAGAAGGATAGAACTTTCTTTATGTATGCTACAACAGCAGCAAGAATACTCATCGTAAAGTACTGGAATACACAGGATCTACCCACTCTGGAAGAATGGCAGATGAAAATGATAGATTATATGGGACTGGCAGAAATGACCGGCAGAATCCGAGACTAGGGAGAAGAGTCAGCAGAAGAAGATTGGAAGAAATTTAAGGACTATCTACAGAAACACTGTAAAATTAATGAATGTTAGAATGATGTCGGATAGAAATTAAGTGGTTTCTGGCTGTAATGCTTTAAGAGAATATGGAAAAAAAGGTTTAGAAGCAGGTTAAAATTTATCGATAAGGATTTGCTGAATTAACAATTTGAATTGGAATACAAAAAAGGGAGGTACGAGGAGGTCTGGGAAACAAGTTAATGGAAAATAAGTAATGGAAATTTTCTGTGTTTTAAATTATTCTTATTTTTTGTATTTTTGTTATTTTCTCTTTTTTATTTTTTATTTTCCCCCCTTATTGTATTAATATTGAAAACTTTAATAAACATATTATATATAAAAAAATAGAAATACAAATTAAAAGTGAAATGAAATGAAATCTGGTGTTTAACATGTTAAAATGCAAGCTCCTAGCCCTCATGTTGGTGAATAGTCTGGAAATACAGTGAAGCAAAGTGTGTGATCCCTGCTTAGACGGAAGCTTTTCAAGAAATGGTAAAGTATCTTCTCTTCCTATATAGAAGCCAGTTCCAAACACAAATAAACATAATCAAGAAACAGAAACCAGAGTGGAGATGTGCTGATAGGAACAGACTTGGCCCTCTATGGATGGTGCTTCTCAGTGTCACATTATACATGAATGGTTGCTGCTTGTAAACACAGCTGTACATTACAATGTCATCCCTCTGCTGAATCCTTGCAGAATGCAAGCCCTGCCTCCATGCACGTAAGCAAAACAACAACAAACCTCTGGTTTATGATTCTATGATTCTATGAAACATATTCAATAAACACACAAGACGTAACTGGCTGTACTTTTGAAAAAATAATATATACTATTCATTGTATTGAATTGTAGATTTCAACAGAAGTACAGTGGTGCCTCGCAAGACGAAATTAATTTGTTCCGCAAGTTTTTTCTTCTTGCGAGTTTTTCGTCTTGCGAAGCACGGTTTCCCATAGGAATGCATTGAAAATCAATCAATGCGTTCCTATGGAAACCGCCTTCAGACCAGGTCTGGGGACAGTCTGTCCCCCGACCTCTTCTGAAGGCTGGGGGGGGGACAAGGGCTTTTCTTCCCACCCCCAGCATTTTAAAAAACCCCGGAACAGCGGAGGACTTCTCCGCTGTCCCGGGGTGATTTAAAAGCCCCTGGGAAGGCAGGCAGGGGGGAGCAAAGACTTTTGCCCCCCGCCGGCCTTCAGAAGAGGTCCAGGACCTCTTCTGAAGGCCGGCGGGGGGCAAAAGTCTTTGCTCCCCCCCTGCCTGCCTTCAAAAGCCGTCTGGGATAGCGGGAAGCGCTTCCCTGCTATCCCAGACCGCTTTTAAAATGCTGGCGGTGGGGAGCAAAGCCTTTCGGCCCCCGCCAGCCTTCCTGGACCTCTTCTGAAGGCCGGAGGGGAGGAAAGGCTTTGCTCCCCACTGCCAGCATTTAAAAGAGGTCCCCAAAGATTTCCCTATGGGCTTTCTTCTTGCAAAGCAAGCCCAGAGGGAAATTCGTCTTGCGAAGCAACTCGCAAACGGAAAACCCTTTCGTCTTGCGGGTTTTCCGTCTTGCGAGGCATTCGTCTTGCGGGGCACCACTGTAGCTCAAAAAGTTCAACCAAAAAAGTAGAAGACCCAGTGGATCAGTTCTATATCTAATCAGTTAATGCATAAGGTCCATATATGTGCAAGTGTCTATTCCACTTGTCTTTTCAGAGAGTCCAACAATCCACACAAAAGGTTGTCACAGTTCCACAGAATCCTTTCACAGAGTCTAAGACAAGGATTTCCGGAATATTAGCCTTGTTTCACCATCCTGGGCTTAATCAGTAGTATAAACTCATATATGATATCACAGGACAGTGAATTTTATAGCATAGCCTAAGGCTAATATTCCGGACATCTGATGGGAGGGTGTTCCATAGGGCGGGTGCCACTTCCGAGAAGGCCCTCTGCCTGGAACCGAGTGTCTGGGACTCTGAAGAGCAGCGCACCACAATGCAACATTTTGTTCCACTTGCCAAGTCAACAGACGTGCCACGAATCTGTCTAATTCTCTTTGCAAGCAACCATTGCCACATCTTCAGCCATAGAATTCCATGTGTTAATCACATGTGGTACAAAGAATGGTTTTCTTTCGTCTGATCTGACATTACTCTCAATCATTCCTGAACTTCCTTTCGGTTACCTGTTCTGACGATGGATCTCATCTCGTTCCATGCTAGGTATTGCAGTGGACCCTTGAACTTGCCCAGGCAGAGTTCCCTGCAAACAACAGAGCGGTCAGCCTGGTTTCCTACGCCCTCAGCCTCCTTTTCAGCAGGGAGCCTATTGGGAAGAGAAGCAGAATACCAGTTACAGCAAGTGGCTATCCGCTCTCTCACATATGAAACTAGCGGAAAGACACCATACTCACTTCTTCAGGAGCTTCTGGACACCCTGGGGAGGGAGAAAGAAGGTGAGATGGTTAGGAAGCTTGAATCTCTCCTTTCATATCCTGGAAAACCACAGATTAAAATACACCCCGTCATCCACCCTAATCTTGCCTTCCTCAAAGCCATTAGGTCCCACTGTCCTCCCACTGAATTGTGGAATGCTGGCTATCCTGTTTGCTAATTCTTCTGTGTTTTCTAAGGGGTCTCCTTTCAGCCCACAACCCTAACCAACCATACCCCCTTGCCTTCCCAAAGACTAAAGGCACTCAGGCCTTTCCAATAACCTGATTAGATAAGACACAGAGAGACGACTTCCCCCTCACAGAGGAGACTAGATTGACACGGAAACAGATTTTCTCCAAGTCAGCTTCACACACAATCATAGGATGTTGCGGAATCCCATGGACAAGAATGATGAGGGTAGAGCCAATGGAAAGATTTCCTCATCTAGCGATTAATATTTCACCTGGGTAGACAAACACCTAGGTGGAGGGCTCCCGGCATACTGTTGTTGTTGTTGTTGTTGTTTAGTCATTTAGTCGTGTCCGACTCTTCGTGACCCCCTGGACCAGAGCACGCCAGGCACTCCTGTCTTCTACTGCCTCCCGCAGTTTGGTCAGACTCATGCTGGTAGCTTCGAGAACACTGTCCAACCATCTCGTCCTCTGTCGTCCCCTTCTCCTTGTGCCCTCCATCTTTCCCAACATCAGGGTCTTTTCCAGGGAGTCTTCTCTTCTCATGAGGTGGCCAAAGTATTGGAGCCTCAGCTTCAGGATCTGTCCTTCCAGTGAGCACTCAGGGCTGATTTCCTTCAGAATGGATAGGTTTGATCTTCTTGCAGTCCATGGGACTCTCAAGAGTCTCCTCCAGCACCACAATTTAAAAGCATCAATTATTCGGCGATCAGCCTTCTTTATGGTCCAGCTCTCACTTTCATACATCACTACTGGACCCAGCATACTGGTGCAACTCAAATATAAACACCAACAACTGGGGAACACTGGCCTGCAAGCGCTCCAATTGGAGAACAGCCCTTTACCAAAGGTGTTGTGGATTTTGAAGACGCTCAAACTCAGGGCAAAAGGGAGAAACGTGCTAAGGCATGCTTGGCAAACCCTCACCGAGATCAACTCCTGCCCGGAAACCTATGTCCCCACTGTGGAAGGATATGTGGATCCAGAATTGGCCTCCACAGTCACTTACGGACTGATTGTTAAAACCGTGTTCATGGAAGACAATCTTACTTGGCTATGAGTGATCGCCAAAGAAAGAAGAAGAAGCAACTCAGGTTCATGCTGCTCCATGTCTTCCACAGAGAAGCAGCTCCTGCAGCACCAGCAGTATGTCTGAAGGGGACAGGGCTGGAAATTGGGTTTTGGCCTGGTACCAAGTCACACAAGTTGCTCAGGCTGAGGAGCTAGCTTGGCTGCAAGTTTATAGGGTTAATTGTTCTCACACTGGCTTTTGGGGTCCTAGAATCATAAACTTGTATAGTTGGAAGGGACCACGAGGGGCATCACTCCTCCTGCGTTGACTCCACCTACCTAAATGCCAGTCCTTGCTCCGAAGAGTCTTGGCCCTCTCCTCATTCTGAATCCTTAACCTATTCTGTGTGATTGGTTATAGATAGTGATGTGGGGCAGCCCACCTTCTAGCATGTTATCTTTCTGTAGAAAATTTGCCATTTGGTAAAAGCAGAGACATCACCTTGCCAACAAAGGTCCGTATAGTTAAAGCTATGGTTTTCCCATATGGTTTTCCCATATGGAAGTGAGACCGTAAAGAAGGCTGATTGCCAAAGAATGGATGCTTTTCGATTATGGTGCTGGAGGAGACTCTTGAGAGTCCCATGGACTGCGAGAAGATCAAACCTCTCCATTCTGAAGGAAATCAGCCCTGAGTGCTCACTGGAAGGACAGATCCTGAAGCTGAGGCTCCAATACTTTGGCCACCTCATGAGAAGAGAAGACTCCCTGGAAAAGACCCTGACGTTGGGAAAGATTGAGGGCACAAGGAGAAGGGGACAACAGACAGCAGTGCCTGGCGTGCTCTGGTCCATGGGATAACGAAGTCAGACACGACTGAATGACTAAACAACAACAACAAAAGTTCATTACTAACAACGAAAGCAGCGTCAAAAGCTTTTAGCAAAGTAAATGCACCAATTTAGATCACTTTGCTGATGCATCAAAATAAATTTCAATTGGAAACCAACAACTGTCCAGTCCAAAATTTTCTGGGAAACCCTCAGCAATGGTTACACTAAAGAGGTGCAAAGGTTTTGGCCTCACCAGGAGGAAGGCAGCTAAATCCGTCTGCTCCATTTTGGCCTTTCCCTGGCTCATCATGTCTCTGGCTTCAGACAGGCCCTCCCGAATCTCCCAGAGATGTGCCATCATGTTCATGCGAGCAGCGTTTTCATCCTCATCTAGCTGGGCCAGTACTGCATCTTTCCTCTGGCTCAGGAATCGCTGCAACTCAGTGAACTCGTCTTCAATCGTCTTGCGAAGGGACTCAGCTGAGTTCTGCAATGGAAAGAAGTTCCACTGGGAGGTTTTTGTGGTGGTGGAAGTGAGAACCCAGTTACCCATTCAGTGAGAAGAAGCAAATGAATCGAAACATACTGTATTTTTTGCTCTATAAGACACACCAGACCATAAGACGCACCTAGTTTTTGGAGGAGGAAAACAAGAAAAAAAATATTCTGAATCCCAGAAGCCAGAACAGCAAGAGGGATCTGGCTTCTGGGATAGCCACTTGCTGTCCTGGCTTATGGGATAGCTGCGCACAGTCTCTCCCGGGCAGCGGGATGAAGGCTCCCCCTGCCTGGAAGAGGCTGCACGGGGCTAAGCCAGAAGCCAGGACAGCAAGCAGCATTGCTGCGCACCAATCCCTCTTGCTCTCCTGGCTTCAGCGATAGCTGCGCAGCCTGCATTCGCTCCGTAAGACACACACACATTTCCCCTTACTTTTTAAGAGGGGAAAAGTGTGTCTTATAGAGCGAAAAATACGGTACCTTGTAAAAATGAGGGGTTGTTGCTAATCCAGGCCCCCTCACAAGCCCAACTTGGCCACATCTCCATTTAATGGTCTCCTTGCTAGGTCCATACATGCTTTTCAGTGGCAGGCGATGGTGCCATCCTTCAGCTGGGAGCCAAGCTCAGCTCCCACTCATAGTGGGTGCCTGCCATTTTGAAGTAAACCCGATGTAAAATGAATTTTTCAGTTTTATACAGACCAGGCAAGAAGATTTAGTAGGTCTATAGCAGGCATCCCCAACCTGCGGCCCTCCAGATGTTTTGGCCTACAACTTCCATGATCCCTAGCTAACAGGACCAGTGGTCAGGGATGATGGGAATTGTAGTCCAAAACATCTGGAGGGCCGAAGGCTGGGACATTGCATTTTGGGTACCTAAAATGATGAGCAGCTGGGCTGGGAAATGATATATAATGAATTGAAAAGGATGTTCAAAATAACTTTTTAAAACAACAACTCAGAAGCTTTTCTTTGGGGAATTATAGGGACAGAACTACCTAAATTGTATAGAAATTTGTTTATGTATGCTACTACAGCAACAAGAATGTTACTTGCCCCAAAATGGAAAGAAGCAGAAGTCCCAGTAAAGGAAGAATGGATATAAACACTTAAGGAATATGCAGAAATGGTGAAACTTACCAGAAAAATAAGAAATCAAGACAACAAATTTTTTATAAAAGAATGGAAATGGTTTATTGAATATTTACAGATAAATTGTAAAGAGATAAAGACATTAGTAGGATTATTGTAATAACCTGCAGTTTTATTAGTGTATATGTTTACAGTAGATACCGTATTTTTCGCTCTATAAGACGCACCAGACCACAAGGCTAGTTTTTGGAGGAGGAAAACAAGAAAAAAAATATTCTGCATCTCAGAAGCCAGAACAGCAAGAGGGATCGCTGCGCAGTGAAAGCAGCAATCCCTCTTGCTGTTCTGGCTTCTGGGATAGCTGTGCAGCCTGCATTCGCTCCATAAGACGCACACACATTTCCCCTTACTTTTTAGGAGGGAAAAAGTGAGTCTTATAGAGCAAAAAATACGGTAATTAAAAGAGCAAGTTACCATAAATTAATAAATTGAAGGAACGGCAGAAAGAGGGGGAAGTCAAATTTTGAAATGTTAAATGGATTGTCAAATGAATGAAATGCATAAATTTGAAAAGTATACATAAAGAAGAAGAAGCAGCAGCGGCTAGGAATTATTTCCTCTTACTCTCAAGGAACGTATGTTTTCTTCTTGACATCTTTCCTGTTGCTCTTGTTGTTTAATTCTGGTTGCCAGGCAACCCAGAACCTTGTTCAGCTTCCGCTAGGGGAGGAAGAAGAGTGTGTGAAATTAGGCAGGTCAGGGAACCTGCCATGTCCCCCAGCGTTGTTTTTCTCTGTTTCCTTTTATTATATTTGTTCTGCGTTCCAGGATTGCAGATATTCAATGAAGAGCAGGTTATAAATACTGCAAATAAATAAAATGCCACCTCCTTAACTTTTCTTTTCTGAACTAAACAGCCCTAAGTGTTGTAACCATTTCTCACAGAGAAGTTCCTCCATCCCCTTAAACATTTTGATTGCCCTTTTCTGAAACTTCCCTATGCAGGGCTGCCTTCAGATGTCTTCTAAAGGTTGTCTAGCTACTTATCTCCTTGGCTCGGCGGGGGTGGGGTGGGGGGGGGGTGTCACATAACTCCATACCCTCCAACATTTCTCCCATGAAAATAGGGACGCTCTAAGGAAAAGTGGGACATTACGGGATCAAATCGGAAACCGGGATGTCTTCCGCAAATACGAGACTGTCCCTGGGAAATAGGGACACATGGAGGGTTTGTTATTATTTAATAACAAATAACAAGATGCCCATTTACACCACAAAGAACTCATAATGTAGCACCCTGCTTGTGGTTAACGCTTAGCTGGAATGAAATATTCAACGCAGCAATAGAGAAATTAAAATAATAATTTATTTGTCAGACAAATAAATGAGAGGCACAGTGGTATATGGTTACCAAGCTCTGGCCTGGCCTCCTGCCATTATGGCCAGCACTTATATTCCCTTAATCCAGCCCCCTTTGCTCCTCCTGTGGCTGCCTCTGTCCAATCAGCCTGGTTGAAATTCCTATTGGCTGATTGGTATGACCAATCACAAAAAGATACACCCATATCCTCCTGTCCTTATATGGAACACAAAGAGCTATATATTTTACATCTATAAATGACAAATAAGTAGTAATATATCTTACATGTGTCTCAACAAGGAATCTTAATTACCAGCTCACCTCTTGCCCTCCTTGCCCTATTGCCTTCTAAAACAAATGGTTAATCTTAAATTTTTATCTTAAACATATGTCAAGGATCTTGAGTTTCACATCAACATTGAAAGATCTCCTTCATTTGAAGGTTTCTAAACAAATGTCTGACAACTATATATATCAGGACTGCTTGGATGGCGTCTCCTGTCTGGCAGGGGGGCTAGGCTGGTGGCTGACTTAATTTCAGGATAAATACAACTCTTACAACTATATGAAATAAGAATCTAGCATTTCTTAAATCCTTTGCATAATTACATCTATGCCAATACACTTAATACACAACACAGGTAGCCTCTTAAAAGGAATAAGGCCTTTGTAAAAGGAAGGAACAGTTTACAGCCTCAAAATAAAATAGGAAATAAAAGCCTCTTCCCCTTCTCCAGCCAGTTGTTTTCTCTTCCATTTGCTCTTGGCCTTTTGTCCTGTGGCTCAAGTTTAAGGCACATGGTTTTATTTTACTGTTTACCAACTATTAATTATGTAGGGTCTGTGTAACCTTGGTCTTCAGCCTGTAATTCCAGCTTTTACGACTTTGAGAATTGTTTTCTGCTATAAATCAAGGGGCCCCTTGTCTAGGAGGAAAACATTGCCAAAGGTTCTCTAAACAGCTGGCATGAAACATTTGAAAATCTAAGCCCATTTAATTTAGGAACCTGATCAAGATATAAGCCAATATAAGTCTTGATTAAAAATGCAGTCTATATTCAGATGCCACAATAACCCACCTACTTTCAGCAGCCAGAAACACCATAACCAGACACTGGCGAGAGCTGTCATGGGTAAGCATGGACCAATGGTACCAAATAGTATGGGAAACAGCCCTACTAGAAAAATTAACCAATAAACTGAAACTGATAGGGGGAGAAATAGATGAAGACGCCTTCACCCCGGTATGGCTCCCCTTTATCACATACACAGCCCAACAAGACAACGACAAAAATCCACCAACAGCCTACAAATCAATATGGCTAACCTGATCCAAAACACCCACCCACCCCACTCACACATGAAAACAAAGACCACCACAGCCAACCACAAATGAAAAACCACAACCTAGGCCAACCCAACCTCTCTCACCACCAAAGGAACACAGGTGAGCAGCAAAGAACCTGCACAAGCGACGCTGACACAAAACCCCACATACCAACTGTTTCTTTTAACCTGGAGCTTGAGAGCAGAAGAATGTTGAGCTGTGAGCAGAGAAAGTGCTGGATGAGTCAGCGCCTTGACGATACCATCAATCTTGGAAGCCTGTGACTCCCACGGCAAAGGAGCTCAGCAAATTGGTCTTAATTACTTGCCTACCTTGGAAGCGGTCCTGCGGAGGGCCCTGCTGCGACCCCCAACACAGCTGGTGAGCCGAGGTGAGATTTTTACCAACCTGACCTTTACAAGATAGATAATGGTGACGACCAGGAGTGGCTGTAGAACATCAGGCTTTTATCAGAGTGATTTAAGACCCCTCTCTAAAAGAACTACCCTAAAGGGAGCACAACTAAAAAGCACTCGGCCCTTTAAGAATAGGGGTAAAGTCAAGCCGAGTGAGAATCACCAGGAAACTGAAACTTCTCCCTCCTCCACTGAAGGGCCGGCTGTGCAGAGAGAGGATTGCGTAGAAGAATGCCACAACAAAGGGCCAATAAAGCCCAAGGTAAATCCAAACAAAATTGGTACAGTCACCGAAGTACCCCCAAAACAGAGACTTAAATCTCAAGCGTCCCCTGAACCATCCCAAGTCCGAGAAGTGGAAGAACTAATGTTAAAACAAATTGCAGAGATGTCTTCGGGAAACCCTAAAACATCAAGAGACTCCTGCTTCCAACTTGAGACAAATGAGGATGAGGATTTATCAGTTATCAAATGGCTTGTGCTTTTAACTGAAGATATTGAAAACATAAAATCTCATCTGGCCACTTGTACAGAAATCCTCACTATAATGATGGACACTTGCAAAACTCTCTGTAGGGAACCCAGTGAGGTGACTGTAGAATTGGAAAGTAATAACAACTTCCTTCCTACCACCTGCAAAAACAGATCACCAAGGAAGGCCAAGAGATCTTGTAGGGCTACTGCCTTGAAAAGGAGGCCCATAAGGGTAAAAAAGAGCAGAAATGTTAAAAATTTTAAGGCAGTGCGTTACCAAAAAATGGACTTTAAGAAGCTCTTTAATCTTCTCAAGAGTATCCCAATAACCGAGACCAGTGGGAACACTGAGAAACTTCTAACCAGGAAATCTTCTAAGCAAGAACGTTCTATAAACCCTTGCCCTGATGCTGCGATGGATTGCTTGGAACCCTTAACACCTACCCCAATACCTAACTCCAAGCAAGACAATCTGATCCAAGATCCATGGTCTTACATTCTATCTGTAGATGAAACCAATCCCTCTAAGAAGAGAAATCTGACAAATCTAACAAATAAAAACTGGAATCTGGTGCTGTACCGAAACAAACTCGTTTTATCAAATTATCCTAAACCCCCAGGACTCCTGTCACAAAAAGAGCGTAAAGTCCATCTATTGAACCTTTTAAAGATCTATATGCCGGGTATCCTTAATAACCCTAATGATTTGGCCCAAGTGGAATATCTATACTTCAACGGATTCCTTGCCAGAGCGGTGGTCTCATTCTATGAGGGGAGACTGGCAAAACTAGTGTACAAATGTAGAGAACATCTGGAGACGAGTGGTATAAGAATCTCAAGGTACTTTAAAAATGAAGCACCTCCAATTCCACTTATTCCCCATATTGTAAATTTGCCAAAAACTCAACACGAGATTGACCAACACGTTCTAATTGATATAAACTCTGCAGAGGACATCTTCAAACATCCTACTGGTCTGACTGCCAAGGACTCTCAAAGGTTGGACTCCCTTGGGCCCAGGCATCCGGAGAATCAGGGAATCGACCTTGATAGCTTTGATAATAACTTACTCCACTCTTATAGCGTTCTCCCGCAAGAAGCTCAGAAAGAAATACTTCATAAAATTGATACCCTTTACTTCTGCCTGACAAAAGTGACGGAGGAACAGCTGAGATTACCTAAACAAAATATGCTTGATAGAGACTGTGGTTCAGATTCTGCCCCATGCTTATACCACCAAGAACTGGACCTGTGGGTTGGGAAGGCACCCACCCCTACCAACCAACTGGTTGTTGCGGAGATGAATCCACTCTCCCATATTCTGGAGGCAGAAACCCCATCACCAGACCCATCTATCATGCACCCCATCTCTGAGGCAAATATGGCTACAACATCTGCCTGGGACAAAATGAGGGAACTTAATGAATCTGAATTAGGCTCTCCATGTAAAGTGCCCCATATGGGTCCACTTACTTGTAACTTTATTAACCCACTCTCTTCTAACGTGTGCAAGTTGAATAAATCCATAGATACCATCGAACCGGTAACAGAACCAGCTGAACCAGACCAACAAATGAGAGATGACTCTATTTTAATTTTAGCCCCGAAGAGTGATCTGGTTGAAGACCCGACAGGTCGTATTAACAAAGCTATCCAAACAGTTAATGATCACTCAACTAGTGGCACGATACCTGCTGACTTAATTTCGCTCTCTCTAAGTAATACCCCCCTAACTCTACCATCTGGCTTTGAAAAGTCAACTATCTCAGGCCTAACATCTGCCTTTAGCGAGACGAGTGGCACGACTTTACAGCCAAACCACCCCAATAAATCTAAACAGTTGGGATGTATAGCACGATTGCCACCTTCTCAAAGGAAAATTACTGATTTTTTTGAAGCTGAAACTCCCCCAAATTTAGAATCCCATTCCCACATGATCTGACTACCTAACGACCAACCCAGCCGCTCCTCGATATCATTTTTATGCTGGAATATTGCGGGATGGAGGGGGAAGAAATCTGATCCAGACTTCTTAAAATTTGTTAATTTATTCCAAGTAATTCTCCTACAAGAAACTTGGGAAGAGGAGGTGATTGACATAAATAGATACGATACCATTTTGCTTCCAGCTAGCCCCTCTCTTAAAGGTGGACGCCCTAGGGGAGGTTTGGTAATAGCCATTTCCCTCAAATTGCAAGCAAAACTTACACTTGTTAAATCTTTCTCTCCTTATGCGATTACAGGATTGATTTCAGGAGGGAAATTTGAATTACTGGTAACAAATGTTTATTTTTCCCCTGGGGGGCAGGTAGGGGACCTCCATTCCAAATGGGAAACACTAGAAGAACACCTAGCTTTCTGTTACACTAAGTTCCCAAACACCTCAGCAGTCATGGGAGGTGATTTTAATGCTCGTACAGCTGCAAATTGGGAAGCGCTAGGCAAGGCCAAATGGTGGGTCATACCTGATCACCAGAACTTGGATTTCTCCCCCCATATACAGAGAAAATCGAAAGATAATAGGGTTAATGAAGCGGGAACCCTTCTTTATCAGCTGATTTTACGTTTGAATTTGATAATTTTAAATGGAAATTGTCCCCCGGATATTCCGGGTGAGTTTACTCACTTGAGCACACTTACAAATAGTGTTCTCGATTATTTTATTGTTTCTAGAGATTTATTCCCAAATTTTTCTTATTTTAAAATAGAAAATGTCCAAATGAGCGACCATCTCCCCTTGAGTGCCAAGCTTTCCCTAGACTGGCAGTCTATCAAGTCTAGACACCCCATATATATGGGAATAAATAATGCAGAACAAGTGAGAGGAATAAAATGGTCAGTAACTCAAGCCCAAAAATATATGGAATTCTTCCAACAAGAGATAATTCAAACTCATGCTGTTTTAGATTTAGATCTGTATGGGCATGAACAAATTATCAATTCATTCTCTCTGCTTACAGAAGATCTTATGTCCTTTTTCACAGTACCAGCCACCCAAGTAAATCGGGCCCTTTTTAAGACCGGTGCCCCTTGGTTTAACTTAAAATGCAAACAAGCTAGACGACATCTTTGTGCCATTTACAATGAATATAAATCTTCTGGTGCTTTAGTATTACCTAGGAATTACCAACAAGCAAAAATAGCATATAAGCAAGCCCAGAGAATGGCTAAGCAAGAGTGGCAACAAAATCGTTGGCAGGCGCTTATAATCGCCTCTAGTTCACGTAACTCACGGCAATTTTGGCAATTGGTTAATAGAAGATCAAGGAGATACCCCTTAACAATAATTCCTGCCCCGGTCTGGGAATCCTTTTTAAGGAAATATTTTGCGTCACCAGATCCCAATACCAACGTTCTTGATGATGTATTTGATCATCTCCCCATCTGGCCTCCTACTGACCCCGATGAAATCTTGAATTTAATCTCTAAACTTAAAATCGGCAAAGCCCCTGGACCAGATTTGGTTCCGGCGGAAGCCATAAAACTACATTCCGACTGGTGGGCAAAAATCCTGGCTGTTACTTTCGATGCTATTAATGCAACTGGAAGGGTGCCAAAAATATGGAAGGACGCAATTATAATTCCAATATATAAAAAAGGCTCCCCAGACGATCCGGAGAATTATAGGAATATTAGTTTACTGTCAATAGTTGGAAAGATATACGCACGTTTTCTGCTGAATAGACTTACCCAATGGGCTGAAGAAAAGAAACTGATAGGCCCCGAGCAAGCAGGATTCAGACCGAACCAGTCAACTACGGACCATGTTTTAGTCTTGCACCATCTAGCCCGGAAATATTCCTCTTCAAACCGAGGCCAACTTTGTGCGGCTTTTATCGACCTTAAGGCTGCATTTGACAGCATCCCCAGAAGGTTACTCTGGGAAAAGTTGGCCCGATGGGGAATTGATAGAAGACTTTTATGGTTAATAATCCAGCTGCATGAGGGGTCGGCTGCTAGGGTGAGAATAACCCCAGCCGGCGATCTCACAAACTCTGTGCCCATCAACAGAGGAGTCCGGCAAGGATGTATCCTAGCTCCTTTTCTTTTCAATTTATTCATTAGTGATATGAGGATACCATTGGCTGAATCTCAGGAAATCATCCATGCCCCCCGTCTCGCAAACTATCGTTGCCCATTATTACTCTATGCTGATGATGCTGTGATTTTATCCTTTTCAAGAATTGGCCTCAGGAGAGCATTAAAACTCTTTGTTTCATATTGTAAAACAAATTCCCTCACTATAAATCAATCTAAATCAAAAGTATTAATTTTCTCAAAAAGTCGGAAATCCTATAAGTGGCAATTAGATGGAAAACCTATTGAACAGGTCTATAAATTTCAATACCTGGGAGTTTTTCTCCAATATAATCTGGGTTGGAAGGCGCATATTGCATATGTTTTAAACAAGGCCAAGGCCCTATCCTTTGCGCTATTGCGCTTTTTCTTTTCGGACGGGGCTCTTCATGTTCCATCTGCCTTGAAAGTATTCAAAGCTAAAGTAATTGCAACATTGGCATATGCTGTTCCTTTATGGGGGACCGCAGTAAACTTGATGCCCTTGGAGGTAATTCAAAATCAATTTCTAAGACGACTACTAAAACTCCCTCAGTGCGTTAGTAACGCAGCTATTCGCTTAGAATTAAAAACTACATCTTTAGAAAATACTCTTTGGAGGCGTAGCCTTTGTTACTGGTTGTCCTTAAGGCATAGACTCCCGAACCTGTATTTGATCCAATGCCTCTGGAGAGATAATTTTCCCGTCCTAGGGGCAAAAGAGATCCATTCTAAAGTAGTGACCTATGGATTGTCTCCATCAGAATTATTGGAATTGGACCTAGCCACAGCAAAAAAAACCCTCACTCAAAAACTTGAGGAGATTGACCTACAACAAAACACCATTTTGGGTAGTGGCACTTGCTCACCATTAAATCTTGGCATAGTCCCCTCACAGCAGATACCATCTTATTTGACTTCTTTGTCTGTAGCGGCCCACAGATATGCCTTTATTAAGGCAAGATTTAACGCCTTTCCTTCCAATGTCTTGAATAATAGATTTTCCAATGGTCAAATCTCAGTGGTGTGTGTATGTGATAATAGATCTATAGAATCTTTACAACATATACTATTCTGTTGTCCACTACATTCAGTTTCTCGGATCAGATTCTTGTCCCCTTTATTATTGGAAATCTCAGGTGACTCCTTGGAAACACAGCTAATATATTTATTGCAAGATTCTGATCTGAGTAGGTCCCTTTCTGTTGCCAGATTTCTGATAACAGTATTAGCTTATAAGAGGAAAAATGGATTACTCTATGATTATTGACTTTGCTTAAATAATATTGATATATATTGATAATTTGATATTTTAAGCGATATATTGTTCCTATTTTAATGGAATTTAGAAATTTACGGTTTGAGATGTACTTGATTTAAATGTATTTTAATTTTTTAATTTTTAATTTATTTGTTATACTTGTTCTGTTGCATGATGTATTGAATATGGGCCTATGGCCGTAATAAACTAATCTAATCATACAGTGGTAAAGGTAAAGGTAAAGGTACCCCTGCCCGTACGGGCCAGTCTTGACAGACTCTAGGGTTGTGCGCCCATCTCACTCAAGAGGCCGGGGGCCAGCGCTGTCCGGAGACACTTCCGGGTCACGTGGCCAGCGTGACATCACTGCTCTGGCGAGCCAGAGCCGCACACGGAAACGCCGTTTACCTTCCCGCTTGTAAGCGGTCCCTATTTATCTACTTGCACCTGGGGGTGCTTTCGAACTGCTAGGTTGGCAGGCGCTGGGACCGAACGACGGGAGCGCACCCCGCCGCAGGGATTCGAACCGCCGACCTTTCGATCGGCAAGCCCTAGGCGCTGAGGCTTTTACCCACAGCGCCACCTGCGTCCCGCTACATACAGTGGTACCTCGGGTTAAGTACTTAATTCGTTCCAGAGGTCCGTTCTTAACCTGAAGCTGTTCTTAACCTGAAGCACCACTTTAGCTAATGGGGCCTCCTGCTGCCGCCGCGCCACTGGAGCACAATTTCTGTTCTCATCCTGAAGCAAAGTTCTTAACCCGAGGTAATATTTCTGGGTTAGCAGAGTCTGTAATCTGAAGCGTATGTAACCTGAAGCGTATGTAACCTGAGGTACCACTGTATAATAGAAACATCGCCACCTGACCCCACCCCCACTCACCTTTCACCTCTCCACCTCTTTCCCCCTTTTCTTCCTAATGTATCAACAAATGAAACTGATCTGTAAAAAATGTTACTTTGAAAAAATAGACATTGCACATACAGTGGTACCTCGGGTTAAGTACTTAATTCGTTCTGGAGGTCCGTTCTTAACCTGAAACTGTTCTTAACCTGAAGCACCACTTTAGCTAATGGGGCCTCTAGCTGCCGCCACGCCGCCGGAGCACGATTTGTGTTCTCATCCTGAAGCAAAGTTCTTAACCTGAAGCACTATTTCTGGGTTAGCGGAGTCTGTAACCTGAAGCGTATGTAACCCGAGGTACCACTGTACTTTTGTAAACCAAGAAAATCTTTAACAACAACAAATAAGGAGGAGTTACCTTCCCTTTTACAACACTGCCTGAATCAGCTGTTGGAGGGCAATTGCCTCAAAGCACCCCCACCTTCACAGTCTCACCTTGTAGGGCTCAGCAGCGTCTTTCAAGGAGCTGAACTTGTGTCCGGCGTGGGCAGGCGAATCCACACAGCACAAACAAACGGGGTCCTCATCGGTGAGGCAGAAGAGCTGCAAAGTGCGAGCGTGTTGTGCGCAGAGCAACCCCTGATCAGCACCTGGGCTGCTTCTGCCTGTCGGCGTCTCTTCGTGATTTTCTGGGTCTTCCTGCGCTTTTCCCCTAACCTCTTGATCCTCTCTTGCCTTTTGGGCCAAGTTTCTCAGCAAGTGGCTGGGTGTGAAATGTCTGTCAGGACAGGGGGCCCGGCAGTCAGGGCAGCTAGGAGCTCCCCCTTGGCCTGTCCCAGGAGGAGGTGATGCACTTGTGGCAGAAGCAGTGCCCACATCGAAGCAGCACCGGCTCAGTAAACACGTCGAGGCAGACGGAACAAGTCAGATCTTGCTGAAAACCCTCCGCCATCTCTGCTGACAGATTGCAGAGTCCAGTTTCGCTTTCTTTTCTCTAGTTCCTCTTTTTGCTTCTCTCTTGTTGCTTAAAGGAACCACACTTTAGAGGTGGAGCAAAGTGACCTTTGCTGTAGCAATTTGAGAACTTTGGAGTCTTTGCAATAGCAAAGAGGCACTTCTCCCGCCCCCCAGGGTTTAAAATGGTTAACTTCTGAAGTCAGCTGAAATTTAGGTCATCTGTGTACTTTTAATGACCTTATGCAGCTCTCAGCCTGCTTTGAGTCTGCTGCTGCTTTTTTTGAGGGTGGGCACTGAATTTTTATGCTGGGATTGGTTTACTGTTGTATGGTGCCATGCTTTTATAATTAAAATGTAACCCTTCTGTTGTCTGCAAGCCAATCAGAGAACAGTGTCATGGTTGGCATTCACCTGTCTGTTAATTAATAAAATTAACTAAGGGGACATGGGGTTTTTACATTGCAGATACAGCCCTGCCATGCGCCAGCTTTTAGGCAGAATTAATTACTAAATAATATTGCTTTTTAAAGAGATATTTTGAGTTACGTATTCAGTGGTCTGTGTTTGCCTGAGCTTGAGTCGGGACTAAGGATTCTGAGCCCCCCCCCCGTGTTCTGATTCGATACATGATATCCAATCAGAGAACATTTCAGGATTTGGGCCTCTGCCATTGGCTTTTAAACTCCGAGTCATGATTCGCAGCTTGGAAGTTTAGACAGCCAATCACGTTGGGAGTGGGAGTGGCCCAGGACTTCAGAAATGTATATAAGCAGTTGCTTTGCCCCTGTTGTCAGTTGTTATTTTGTACACAAGGAAGGAGCGATATGTACTTCAGGAGTTGAAATGTCCTTGATGACAGTAAGGACTCAAAACCATATTGCCCTTTACTAGACTTTTTAATCTTAGCACCCTAAAACTCCAGCCAAATTTCACTCACAACCTGGGTCAGCTACAGGAATAGCTGTCAACTTACAGATTTGAAAATAAGGGACCAGCAGCCAAAATAAGGGATTTTCAGAACACAGGTATGTTCAACTTCTGAGCCCCTCCGAGCCAAAGGCAGAAAGCCCAGCCAGCAGCCAAACGAAGCCTCAAGCGGTGGTTCCCACAGCGCAGCAACCCGGCAAAGGGGATGCAGCAAGGAAAACCACCGTCACCTCTCCGCTGGGAAAGCGCTGAGCAAAGGCGAGTCCCCAGGCAACGCTGCTGATTTGATTGGCACAAGGCATGCAAGCTCCACCCCCAGTTGTTCTTAGACTCCTTACTGAGTGAGCACCGCAGCCAAGCAACACAGTTGGAGCCTCCCTCCTCCCTGGCCGGCAGGGAGGGAGGGACAGGAGCTGCTTCCTTTGAAACCTGGGAAATTTAAGGGACATCATCAATAAGGGACAGCAGTGGGACACAACACTGGGATAAGGGAGTTTCCCGCCAAATAAGGGACGGTTGACAGCTATGGCTACAGGTGCAATCTGATCCCAGAGTTCCCCCAGTTGCACTTCTGGATGCTTGGACATTTTAGGCGATTGAAGAAACACGTATTTGTCTAACTTTCTTCTAGTAAGACACTTACACAGGGCAGTCTCTTCTCAGTGGCTCCTTCCAGATTTGGAAGCTCCCGCCCTACAGAAACGAGACTGTCTTCCTCCCTGCTGCCAACAGGTGAAGCCCTTGTTCCAACAGGTTTTTGGAAACAGTTTTTAATGAAAAGGCTGCTGCCATGCTGTTTTCATTGCAATTATTTCTACGGTTTTAATAGTGTTTTTAGCACTATGATTACTGCCCTGAAATTCTTAGATGAACCAACACAGGAGCAATAATAATTCTTTCTAGTCTAAATGAAATAATATATAGGCAAAGTTGACACCTGCAAACTGACCCAGTAATATCCAGAATTTCAGGATTGTCTCCAATCAGCAAAAGAGGAGGGCTGGAGCTGAAAGACCCAAGTCGAAGTGCGGATGGAGGAAGGGTGTGCATTGCAATAGATACTGCGATCCTTCTGAGATATTGGAGACTTGGGTGTCGGAAGTTTGTTTCCTCCTCCCTCCCCATCCCCTTTTCCTTGTGTGTTGTGTCTTTTGGTCTGTGTGCCTGTAGAAAGGGACTGTTTCCATTGACTGTATGTATGCAAGTCACTCTGGTAGCCTTTCTGGTTGTAAAACAGAATAAAAATGCTCTAGATATATAAATTGGCTTAAATCCAGTAACAGCCAATATGCCGGGTCGCCTTCAAAATTAAGTAACACTCTCATAGGTTTCCAAAATTATTGGTTTCCTACAAACAGCTTCAACTATTATTGGTGTTAATCAAGGAAAGGGCTAAAGGAGAAGAGATTGCTAGAAACCCTCAATAAAAACACAATTATGTACAGTATTGCTAGATGAACAATGCAGCTTTATTGAGGATTGTTTGCAAAGGTACATAGATGAATGCAGCAAATACAACTTTCCAGAAGTCTTCCCACAAATGATGCAGCACAGGAGGGATTCTGATATGCACTGACCTGTTTCACACCTCCTTGACTCATGACCGGATTGGACTTTAGCTATCCACTGGATTTTGATGTCATTCTCAACTGAAAGAAATGTTATCAGATTGCATATCTGGATAAAATATATTGAGAAATGTGCTTATGTTGAGAGAAAAACATGTTCAAAAATACACTTTTAATTGGGAAGGCAGGGTGGATAAAAATTAATGATTTTTTAAATTTAAATTAGATTTTTAAAATAATATGCCTTTGGAGGAAAAAGCTTTCTAAAGATATTTTTCTGTATAAGTTACATTATAGTCCGAAGGCTATTCATTAGGAAATAAGGATTTGTTTTAAGTTTTTCATGCATGCTAAAACTGTCTATGTTGTTGTTGTATTTTAATTGTTTAATCGCATCAGTTAACAAACATGGATACATATGCTATAATGTTATTGTTTTAGTTAAGTAAATTGTTATTAAGGAAATTATTATTTTTCTCCTTCCAATAAAGTACAGCAGAAAAGTTGTCCAAATATAAACAATTATGAAATTATTGTGGGGTTTAATAAGTTATCTGTCTACGCATTTCTAACAGTATAACCAAACCAGTAATTTTTTATATAACTGTAAAAAACTACTCTGAAAATTTTTCATTCCAAAAATGAAACCTTCATCTGGTTGTAAATATTAAGATTATACCAGCAAGAATGAGACTTTCCGTTAAAAAGAAAAGAAAAGATTTAAGTCAAGTCTTACTTGTCTAGTGATTTAAACCATGATTAATCATTTAAATTGATTTGATTTAAATCAAATCCACCCTGTGGAAGGTAATGCTAATGTGTGAGTGCAAACCCCATAGTGTGGGATGGTGGTTGTTGCAAGCTGATCTTGCAAGACAGCAGCGCAGAGGGAACATGCCCTATTCTGCACATTTTCCGGGATCTGCATTCCTCCAACTTGAAATTACTTGCAACACGTCATTTTTGCCAGTTCCTGGTTTGCTGACACCACCAGCACCTATGGACAAAGCAGGGACAAGTGTCATTCATTTGTTATATAGGAAATAAAAGAGCTACATGCACACCAAACTCTTGCAAACAGGAGAGCTACCCTTTATCCCCAGGTGTGAGGAACATTTCTTAGCCTGAGCGCCACATTCCCTTCCACTTCACTTGAGTGGTGGGGGACGGAGGCAGAGGCAAAAGCATGTGCAGTGTAAATATTACCTTTGTACCTTAAGCTCATAACCTCTATCCTCCATGCAGAAATGCAAGAGGTAGTTGCAGAGCTCAAGGACATATTCCAGCTAGGCAAACACTCTGGTTATAGGGCAAGGCAAGTGAGAAGAGTAGCCTGGGGGAAGCTCCAAGGGCCAGGTAGAGAGCACATTTCATTTTTACTATAACCCTCACCGTCCTGTTTTCTTTTTTTAAAAAAAGTCAAAAGGCAGGCTAGGAACACCTTAAACCAGGCACCCCCAAACTCGGCCCTCCAGATCTTTTGGGACTACAACTCCCATCATCCATAGCTAACAGGGCCTGTGTTCAGGGATGATGGGAATTGTAGTCCCAAAACACCTGGAGGGCTGAATTTGGCGGTGCCTGCCTTAAACCAACCTTGGGTCTCCAGCTGTTTTCAGACTACAATTCCCATCATCCCTGACCACTGGTCTTGTTAGCTAGGGATGATGGGAGTTGTAGTCCAAAAACTGGAGACCCACAGTTGGGAAACATTACTTTAAACCAGTGTTTTTCAACCTTTTTTGGGCAAAGGCACACTTGTTTCATGAAAAAAAATCACGAGGCACACCACCATTAGAAAATGTTAAAAAATTTAACTCTGTGCCTATATTGACTATATATAAAGTAATTCTCTTGAATAGGAATCAAATAAACACAAAGAAAGTATTTTATAATTACTTTATTATGAAATAGTAAGTAAACAGAAATGTGAAAAATTATAAAATACTTTATTTTTAAATCTTTCGAATTTTTCAATTTTTCCCACGGCACACCAGGCAACATCTCGCGGCACACTAGTGTGCCACGGAACAGTGGTTGAAAAACACTGCTTTAAACGACCGAAACAAAATGCACGGCAGAATTCAAATATTTGGCACCCAGCACAGAAAACTGTAGGAACAGAGGATCCAGGAACAGCCCAGAGTGGTAGCCAGCCCTGCACAAAATAGCCTCCATCTCAATTAATCTGCCTCCAGTTCTTACGTGCCAACACATGGGAGAGTACAGGCACGCCTTTGTGGGAGGGTTCGCACACACAAAATTTCTCAAGTCATCAGGAAGCTGAAATTGTAGTTGTCCCCTCTCGGGAGGTACCCACCCTCTCCCCAGAGCTGGCTGAACTGCGCTGTGACTTCACATCATGTTCTTAAACACCCTAAATAACTGGGTAGAGAGAGAGAGGTCAGTCGCAGAAAATCAGCACATCCTCCAGGCACAATGTGAGGGGATGTCCAACCAAGCTTTAAGTCAGCAGTAGGGAACCGCTGGCCCATGAGATTTCTGCCCAAAAGCCACACCCACTTGCCCCACATCTGATGTCATCCATAAAAGATTTCAGGTGTGGGGCAGGTCAGGAGGCACCTGTAAAAGAACCACTGATTCCAGCTATATGCCAGCTCCCAATGCAGCGACCCACGGCCACAGCTGATCCAAGTGGGGGTCATTGCAGATTAGCTGAGCACACAGCTGTGACTTCAAGCCCCACTTGGGACAGTTAAGATCTTCCTTTGCAGTGTGGCTTGATCTCAACCCACACTAGAAAAGAAACCATGGGTCACCTGGCCTCATGGTTGTGTCAGTTTGCATTTCTTAGTGCAGGAAGTATTGATCTCATGTGTAAAGATCTTTCCTATTCTTATTAATTCTAGAAGCTTCTCTGTGTGAGAGAAGCAAAGGCAGCTCTTACTGTCAAGTCATTTGAATCCACTCGTTTGGGTCCCACCTTCCGGAGCAGAAGAAAACAATCGTTCTCCATTTTCGATGTGGCAGCCCTTTAGATATTTGAAGATTGGCTATCATCTCTCCTCCCAGGCAGACACCATGTTGGGGGACGCTGATATTACGCATAACTGTCTGAAACTCTGCAAGGTTGCAGAACAGGTATCTTTCCTAGCCCTTACCTGGAGAGCTGCTCTTACCTGGGACCTTTCGCGTGCTTCAAAAAAAGCACGTGCTCTCCCCACCGGGCTAGGCAGGGCGGAAGAGGCAAGCGCACATCCGCAAGGCTCAGGTTACCTAGGCAGGTCTGCGCCGTGGCGCTCGGCAGCCAAAACCAGCCTCGGAGGCGCGCGTTTAAAAAAGTGCCAAGCCGCAAGTCCTCGTGAAACTTTGCGATCCCTCCATTTACTGACACGGCATTTCTCTCTCTCTCTCCGTATAACTGCTAAAGGAGCAGGAGCGCTGCTAAACTGTAAGAGGTGGCGAGATCCCAACCGGGAAAACCAGCTGCGCCCTGCGCATTTGGGGCTTACGCAGCAACCTCGCAGATCCATCCCGGTGGTGGGAACCTTACCTGCCCGATGCGCTGAATTAAGGGGGCTTAAAGTTAGCCTAACAAGCCTCCGGTGCAAGATTCCTGGGAGGCGCCCCAGGCCCCCACCATCCCCAACTGCGCGCCCGCCCGCCCGGCGCATCACCCGATCCGTGGCAAGTCTCCCGCGCAAGGATGGTGATGGATTCCCCCCTTTGCCAATATACACACCTGGCCAAGCTAGCCGGAGATCGAGCGCCGAAAGTGCAGCCTCCTGCTCCTCCTCCATGGCTGGGGCTGCAAAGCATGCTGGGGATCCTCTTAGCATGCCCAAATTGAATCGCCTAAGCTCTCATTGGCTGCCAGATCCCGGAATCGAGGTGGGAGGCGGAGGGTGGGCGGAGCTGCTGCGTCCGCATGGCCTCTTTCCCCGCATTGGAGTAGGGGCGCGTGCCCGAAGCGCGTTCACTGCGAAGTAGTGCGCACCGCAGAAGCACGGAACTATGCAGGGACCCGAGGGTCATCTAGACCGACCCCCTGCAATGCAGGAATCTCAACGAGATCACGCACGACACGTGGCCGCCCAACCTCTGCTTGAAAACCTCCGAGGAAGGAGAGGCTGTCGCCCTCCCAGGAAATCTGTTTCACTGTGCTCTTCCTGATGTGTAGTCGGAATCCGTGTTTGAAGTGTCGCGTGGACTTGCGTGGCAGACCAGCTGTGGCAGGTCTGTTGCAGCAAAAACCTCTGAGTCTTGCGGAATGGGCGCTATTAATTGCCTTTAATGCTATTAATTGCCTTCAGTGCTATTAGTGGGCACTTCCTGAATTTCTTTTACCTCTGACCCCAACGTTTATAATTCCTCCACCCACGCGTGTATCCTGTATATCTGAATCATCTGATTCAGTAGACTCTCCAGCCTGCAATAATAATAATAATAATAATAATAATAATAATAATAATAATAATAATTTTCCCCAGCCCCAATTTTATTCTCACAACAACCCTGTGAGTTAGGCTGAGAGACGGTGACAGGCCCAAGTTCCCGAAGTGAGCTACATGGCTGAGAGGAGATTTGAACCCTGGTCTCCCAGTGCCTAGTCCAGCACTCTAACCACTATGCCACACTGATGCAGTAATCCATTTGTTTATTTGATCAATAAATATATATATATATTAAATAAATCTCTGCACTGTATCAGAGTGGTGTGGGAATGTTCTGGGGTGCAGGAAAGGATATATTGACTAATTATATCCTGATCCAACTTGTGCTAACAAGTTCCCAAAATATCAGCAGAGTTTACATACATTCCCCTTTAGTACGCAACGGTAACGTGTGCACAGGTTCGCTAGAACCTCTATAATAATTACCCTGGTAATTTCCCCTTTAGTTCCCTCTTAAAATACAAGACACGACACAGTCTTCATAAAAGTATAAAAGAGTTTACTCACGTTCTGTTCACAATGTGATCCCAGAAGGCACAGCTTAAAAAGGTTACATAGATTTAGAATCTATCTCATAGCAAGATAGGCCTTATCTCCTCTCTTGGCTGGGAGCCAAGAGAGCATCCTTAGATGTTTCCTCGTTGAAGGAAAATGGCAGAGAGAGAGAGATGGCTGCCTGCCCTGTGCTTTTTGTCATCACCTGCACAGGTGAGGCCACACCCACCTCTAGTCACATGTGGAGGAAGTCCGTCCCCAGGAAGTTTACCTGCTTGCTGGACAGACATCCCCACCATGTTCTAACATGTACACTCTAGGAATGTTGTCATTGACTGCTCCTGTGTTTACATCCCACAAGTGGCTGGGGAAACCCAGCCAGATGGGTAGGGTAGGGTATGAATGAATGAATGAATAAATAAATAAATAAATAAATAAAAGGTAAACGGACCCCTGACCATTAGGTCCAGTCATGGCCGACTCTGGGGTTGCGGTGCTCATCTCGCTTTATTGGCCGAGGGAGCCGGCGTACAGCTTCCGGGTCATGTGGCCAGCAGGACTAAGCCGCTTCTGGCGAACCTGAGCAGCGCACGGAAACGCTGTTTACCTTCCCGCCGGTGCGGTACCTATTTATCTACTTGCACTTTGATGTGCTCTCGAACTGCTAGGTTGGCAGGAGCTGGGACTGAGCAACGGGAGCTCACCCCGTTGCGGGGATTCGAACCACCGACCTTCTGATCGGCAAGTCCTAGGCTCTGTGGTTTAACCCACAGCACCACCCACGTCCCAATAATAATAATAATAATTAGATGGATTTAGGACTGGCCCATTGATGGCTAATGTTGTTGCCTCCGGTTTGACTTGCAAAGTTCAGTCCTCAAGGCATCTGAAGCCTTGTCAGCTCCTTGGCTAAAATGGGAAGGGGTTCTCTTAAATTCCACCACATACATACACACACCAGGGGGCTTTGAAATGAGACACCCTGATTGGCTGCTTCGCTTAGCAACCAACTGTTCCATCCCCTCTGCATTTTTTGCTGCCTTTTGTTTGTAAGGCTCCCACCCCCCACCCCCCTGTTATTCTTTCATTACTTGAATAACTCAGTTTCTCTTGAGCCTTCATTTCCTTTGTCCCAGATCTGGGCAAGGCCAGCTGCACCCACTCTGAATTTTGATATTGCTTTAACATTGCTTCAGGGAGATTCTTAACAACAACAACAACAAAATGAGGCTCATCTGGGCATGGGCTTTTATTGTACATACTCAAATGGCTAAAAGTCCTGGTCTGAACCTCTTCCCCACGTTTCTCCCCTCTGAAGAAGAACAGTTGTGTCCTCCTCACAGCCTTGGCATTGAAACCTCTCCTTGTTGTTGAAATCCACAGTCTTTGCTGAAAGTGTCTGAATGCAATTCTGCTTGTCTGGAGGCTGATAGGTTTGCATGGGAAAGAGGGGAGAGAGAGGGGGGAACCCCCAAATTTCCTAGGCTGTCCTTTAACCTGTACCGACCATCATTAAACTGATTGTGGACCTAATTTCCTCCCTTTTTCATGTGTCTCTCCTGCTAATAAGAGCAGACACGGCTCTTTGTATTTCTGCCTTTAGTTGGTGAGCACTAGCAACTTTCCGCCAATGATGTTAGCTTTCTTATCTTCCTAAACTCACAGTGCAATTGCGTTCAGTGATGTGCTCCTGCATCAAGGACTCAATTGTTAACTTCTGGTGCTGCATTTAAGTCCAAATGCCATCAGTCTTCTCTCTCTTTCTAATCGGGGTCAGCAACCATTTTCAGCCGTCCCTCAGACCATGTGGTGGGCCGGACTATATTTTGGAAAAAAATATGAACAAATTCCTATGCCCCATAAATAACCCAGAGATGCATTTTAAATAAAAGCACACATTCTACTCATGTAAAAACATGCTGATTCCCAGACCGTCCGCGGGCCGGATTGAGAAGGCGATTGGGCCGCATCTGGCCCACGGCCTTAGGTTGCCTACCCCTGCTCTAGATGTTTGTTTTATTTGCAGATACTTGTATTCCATTCTTCAACCCTAAGTGGATTCCCAAAGCAGCTAACAATTGAAGCCAACATTAAAAATAAAAGTACATACATACAATTTTTGCAACAAAACAGCAGCATAGGAGCATCGCAAGCTCCCTAGGTAGAGAATTCCAAAGAAATAATGCCTTATTTCAGATGCTGGCCAGACCTGAATAAGGGACTCAGAAAATGATCTCAGAGTCTGGGGAAGTCAACACTCCTTGAGGTATTTTGGTCCTAAGCCACATAGGATGTTGAAGGTCAGAGCCACCATTTTGGATATAGACAACTAATAGATACAGCTAATTGATATAGGTATGTAAATCAGGGACATGGGTGTAGCCAGGATTTGGGGGGGGGGGCGCGCAGACTTTATAACGAAGCTGATAGGAATTGTATCCCAAGACATCTGGAGGCCCCCGCATTGCCTATCCCTGATTTAAATGCAGAATTCTAGAATTGGGAAACAGCTTTTCAGGCCAGAAACAAAGAAGCAATAATAAGACAGCTGTGCGAGTGTGTGTTCACAATGCATTTTGCGAAATTTTCCTTGTCAAGGGACTTTCCTTCCACTTCAAACTGTTTGGGATGACCTCTTTCAACTCCCCTGAGAAGTTTAATAAAGGGACATTCTCGAAATGTGTTCAGAGCCTAGGCACTTGTGCAGCTGTCTCCTTGTCCCTGAATATGCCACCCTGTGCACTCCATTTCTTTAAGAACTTAGAATCATAGAATCATAGAATCATAGAGTTGGAAGAGACCACAAGGGCCATCGAGTCCAACCCCCTGCCAAGCAGGAAACACCATCAGAGCACTCCTGACATATGGTTGTCAAGCCTCTGCTTAAAGACCTCCAAAGAAGGAGACTCCACCACACTCCTTGGCAGCAAATTCCACTGTCGAACAGCTCTTACTGTCAGGAAGTTCTTCCTAATGTTTAGGTGGAATCTTCTTTCTTGTAGTTTGGATCCATTGCTCCGTGTCCGCTTCTCTGGAGCAGCAGAAAACAACCTTTCTCCCTCCTCCATATCACGTCCTTTTATATATTTGTACATGGCTATCATATCACCCCGTAACCTCCTCTTCTCCAGGCTAAACATGCCCAGCTCCCTTAGCCGTTCCTCATAAGGCATCGTTTCCAGGCCTTTGACCATTTTGGTTGCCCTCCTCTGGACACGTTCCAGTTTGTCACTGTCCTTCTTGAACTGTGGTGCCCAGAACTGGACACAGTACTCCAGGTGAGGTCTGACCAGAGCAGAATACAGTGGCACTATTACTTCCCTTGATCTAGATGCTATACTCCTATTGATGAGGCCCAGAATTGCATTGGCTTTTTTAGCTGCCGCGTCACATTGTTGGCTCATGTCAAGTTTGTGGTCAACCAAGACTCCTAGATCCTTTTCACATGTACTGCTCTCAAGCCAGGTGTCCCCCATCTTGTATTTGTGCCTCTCATTTTTTTTGCCCAAGTGCAATACTTTACATTTCTCCCTGTTAAAATTCATCTTGTTTGTTTTGGCCCAGTTCTCTAATCTGTCAAGGTCGTTTTGAAGTGTGATCCTGTCCTCTGGGGTGTTAGTCACCCCTCCCAGTTTGGTGTCATCTGCAAATTTGATCAGGATGCCCTTGAGTCCATCATCCAAGTCGTTGATAAAGATGTTGAATAAGACCGGGCCCAAGACAGAACCCTGTGGCACCCCACTAGTCACTCTTCTCCAGGATGAAGAGGAACCATTGATGAACACCCTTTGGGTTCGGTCAGACAGCCAGTTACAAATCCACTGAGTGGTAGCATAGTCAAGACCGCATTTTACCAGCTTCTTTACAAGAATATCATGGGGCACCTTGTCAAATGCCTTGCTGAAATCAAGGTAGACTACATCCACTGCGTTCCCTTCATCTACCAGGCTTGTAATTCTGTCAAAAAACGAGATCAGGTTAGTCTGA